AAAAAAAAAAAAAAAAAAAAAAAAAAAAAAATAAATAAATAAATAAATAAATACTACAAATATGTTTAAAAGTATTATAGCATGTGTATTCATTCATTATGAAAAAGAATAAATAAAAAAAAAAATGGAAAAGAAGATCTCTTAAATATGTTTTACTTTTGATATAGAATTCTTTTTCTTCTCGATTTTAAAATTTAAGTTTTTTGGATTTTGTATAAAAATAATTACAAACATATATAAAAATTAATTTTTTGAACAACTTTTTTCTCATTACAAATTAAAATTATGAAGATTGCATAATATAATTTTTATATTATTAATATATATAGCTCTTAAAAAAAATGCATACATTTTAATAAAAAATTTTAAAAAGCATTTACTTTTTTAAAATTTTTATTATCTATATTAATAATATTTATACAAAAATATATATCTTTTTTATATTTAGATAAAATATTATTATGCAGAATATTAAATTTTTTCGTAGAATTCAAATATATATTATAAAAGTTTTTACTAAACAAAAATTAATTTATGTCCATATAAGTTTTTGAGTATTGTTCTTATTGCTAAATATATCTTTTTTAAATATATTTTAAAAATAAAAAAAAAAAAAATTAAACACGAATAGAAAAAATTTTGCAAAATGCACAGGTAAAATAAATATGGAAATATTTTTAAGTATTAATGACTCATTTTTCTAAATATATATTTATATATAAAATACAATTTAATCAAAGAAAAATATAAGAAAGTATTTTACATGTTTTTATAATAAAAAAAAAAAAAAAAAAAAAGAAAAAAATTCATATAATTAAACCATTATTTTTTCAATTGTACATTCATTTCGCACACTCATAACGTGAAAAAAAAAAAATTTTAAGATATAATTTTTTAAAAAATTGTAGTTATTAAAAGTTTATTTTATCATAAATTAGCTCATATATATAACTAAATTTTTCTGAAATAATTTTATAAAATTAAAAAATAAAAAGAGATTGTAGAAAGATAAGGTATCTAAAAATATATGATAGTAAAAAGAAAAATATAAAATAGAAATTAGAAAGATATTAAAATAATAAAAATAAAAGCAAATTAAATATACTTAATAAAAACTTCTTAAATCCCAATTAAGGTAAAAATTAAATGAAACTTTATGTATATATAAAGATGGCAGAAAAACAAAAAATTAAATGATACCATAATCTTTTATCATAATTTGAAAACTGAAAAATATAATATTTTAAAATTGTGAAAAAATAACAAAAAAGTTTTATAATTAAGAAGCTTGCAAAGAAAGAAAAAAGAAACTAATATTGAAATGATAAAACATATATATTAACAAAAAATTGTTTTTTAAAAAAAAAAAAAAAAAAAAAAAAAAAAGGATTAGAATAAAAATTCTTTAATAAAAGAATAAATAAATGTAAAAAATTTAATTAACTTCCTACACCTAAGTATAATATTTTTTCATCAGGTATTACAACTATTCCTTCAGGTAAAGTTGGATTTAAATTATTATTTAAATGCTCTACATATAATTTTTTAATATAATAATCTACAATTTTTTCTACATTAGTTGGTGGAGGTTTATTTTTCAATTCTTCTTCTAAAAGTGGCATTAATTTTGTTTTTAATAAAATTAATAAACTTTCAAAATAATTTCCAAATGTTAACTTGCAATAATAAGCAGAAATGTCAAGGGAAGAATAAATTAAACAAAAATATATGTACGTTTTTCTTCTAAAAGCACTATTTAGAATTTCCGTTAAATAACACCATATTTCTCTTGTGTCATTTAAAATTATAAAAATTGATAAATGTAATTTAATAAATGCTTCAATTCGTGAATAATTAGAGCAGAGAAATTCATCATTCTGCTCAAGGATTATATCATATAATTTTTCCTTTGATAAATATTCAGGAATTTCAAAAAACAAAGGAATGGTATAAATGCATTTATAAGATACTATTCCTTTATATATAAAATATGCTTTTTTATAGTTAGAAATAATTAATGATAAAAAACAAGATATTCCCCATATAGATGCTTTTGCTTGATGAATTTTTTCATCATCTAATATTCCTAAAATTCCTTCAATTATAGAAAATAGGCAGTAATCTGTTAAATAAACATTATTTAATTTTAAAATATCATTGTATAAATTTCTCAACATACAAAAACATTTTAATATCTGCTCGGTTATATTACTTATTATATTATTAACACTTAATATAGTTCTTTTTATAGTTTTTATAATTATTTGTAAATTAGTATCCTTTAATGATTCAATGTACTTTTTATAAGATAACATATATATTATTACAAATTCTCTAGCTAAAATACATTTATCTGAATGATAGTTTAAATTATCAAATTTAAAAGAACGAAATATTTTCAATTTGTTATGTATATCTATAATGTCATCATATTTTATTATTCCTTCATTTAATGTCTTTTTTAGTTCTTCATCTATTTTTATATCATCTTCTTTCCATATAAAAAATTCCATTCTCTTTCAATTTTAAAAAAAAAAAAAAAAAATATATTTTATATTAAAATAAAAGACATACTGTATATAATATTTCTTATTTTTCTTAAACCACTTTTTTACTTGTTTTTATTTATTTACTTTTTTTTTTATTTGTTAATTTCTATAAGTCTTAACTTTAAATCAAAATATATGATAATAAAGATGTGTTTGTATATAAATATCCATTTAAATAAATAATTTTTCCTTTGTTACAACTTTGTAATTTCTTTAAAAAATTTATCATTTCTTTATTTCCAATATATCAATATTTCATACTTAAAAATATATTTTTTATTTATAGTAACATTTTTATAATGTAGCTTCTTTTTATTTTGCTCGTTTTTACTTTTTCCTTTGTTATCCAAGATGCATGTTAAAATATGTATAATAAAATAAAAAAAAAAAAATTATAAAAAAAAAGAAAAAATTTATGTAGAGCAAATTGTTAAATTATTTATTGAAAATAAAATATTTAGGAAAAAAAATATACATTTAATTGGGAAATATAAAAATATGCATATTTATGTGTATAAAAAATGGATTTACGTAATTTCTTTTAAATAAGAAGTATATATATGAGAAAAATATTCAAGAAACAATTATATATATATATATATATATATATATATATATATATATTTTATTAAAAATGAGGTATTAATAAAATTGCTTTTGAGTGCGGAAAATTATTACAAAAAAGTAAATAAAAAATAAAACTATAAAAGCAGGAAGTAAATAAAATTTTTGTAAATCTAATATATATAATTTTAAATTTTATTTTTGAATTAATATTTAAATTTTTATTTGGATTAGCAATGTATTTGGTTTTTATTATAAAAAGGTTTAAATTTTTACTATGTCACAATTCGTTGTAATAACTAATTTTATTCTCTCACGTAATAATTTTTATTTGAAAGAAGCGGCTGAATTTTATATATGTAGGTGCTGAAAAAAATATTTCATTACATATTTTAATTTGTTGTTATCTTTTTTTTTTTGTTATTTATTAATATATTTGAATAATTTAAATGAAAAAAATAGTACTATTTAAAAATAATTTAAGATTTTCATAATAATTATTAATAATACATGGTTTTCATTATACAATATATACAAATGTATATAAAATAAATGGAACCATTGTTTTGAAATAATTTAAAATGAATAAAATAAAGTAGAATAATACTTAATTTTTTTTTTTAACTCAAATAAAAAGTTATAAAAAAAAAAAATACTAGCTGTTAATAAGATATTATTTTTATTAAGGAATTTAAATATTTATTACAATTTTATTGGCTTATATAAAAGTACATCACTACAAAAATAGGGATCAAAGTGAAAAGTATTCATAAAATTTTTTTATTTTCTACATGTATAAAATAATCTTTAAAAAATTAATTTAATAATAACTATTATTTACTAAAATTTTTTTAAATATAAATATTTCGCTTGTTATTTTGTAAATTACTACAAAATTCTTTCCATTTTGCATATTGAATATTTTAGAAAGCATTATTCATAAAAAAATTAAAATTAAAATTAAAAATTTTTTTTTTAAATGATATACACATGAAAGATACATATACAATAATAAAAAAAAAAAAAAGTAAAATAAAAAAAAAAAAAATAAATGAATAGATAAAAATTTATAATTAAAAAAAAAAAAAACTAAAATTTATATTATTGAAATTAATTGACTATATACTTTTCAATAAAAACGAAAAAAATACCAAACAGGTAAAAATAACATATTTATTTTTTTTTAAAATGTATTAAGCTGAAAAGCATAAATATTATATATTCTATATGTATTTTTAAAATTATCAAAAAAATTAAGTAAATATTCAAAAAAAAAATTACATATATACAATATTATATTATAATTATATATAACTTGGAAAAAGAAGTATTATATATAATATTTCATTTTTGTTAATGTAGATTTAAAAAAAAAAAAATAAAAATAATTTATTAGAATTTTATTTTGTTTTATTTTTTTTTTTTTTTTTACTCGATAATATATATATATATATATTTAACAATATAAAATATAAAAATTATTATTATTTAAAGAATACTTTTATTATTTATATATTTATTTTTCTTAATTATTTTCATATATCATCATATATTTTTTTAGATTTAAAAGAAAAAAAAAATGGCATCAATTAAGACAACAGTAAAAACAGAAGCTTGCTCATTTAGTGAGTACAGAATTTATCCAGGAAGAGGACAAAAATATATTGCTAAAGATGGAAAAGTTTATTTTTATTTATCATCAAAATTTGCTTCTTTAGCATTACAAAAAAAAAAAGCAGCTAAATTAAGATGGACACAAGTTATATCAAAAAAAAATAATATATATATTTATATATATATATTTATATAGTTTATAATGTTATATTTATTGATAAAACTGACATGTGTAAAATAAAATACATCATTAATATTTATTATTATATATTCTTATAATTCATAGGCATGGAGAAGAAATAATAAAAAAACTAAAGTAGAAACAACCCAAAGAAGAAGATATAAAAAAACTATAAAAGTTCAAAAAGCTGTATGTGGTTTAACTGTTGAAGATATTAGAAATAGAAAAGCATATGTTCAAAGTATTGAAGCAAAGGTATGGAATAAAAAAAGAAAAATGAAATAATAATTAATACGTTTTATGATAAAATGAAATTAGTAAATAATATCAAAAAAAAAAAATAATTTGATATATATACTTATTGAAGTTAAGAGTCATGAAAATATAAATATGTATTAATATATATTCATGTAGTTAAACTTCAAAAAATAAACGAGGTTTTAGTTTTATATATAAACAATATTATTTTTAATAAAAGTGAATGTTTTTATTTACTTTTTATTATGAATAATACTGTTTGCATATAAATATCTATCTACTTTTTTCTTTTTTATTTAAATAAAAGGAAAAAAATAATAAAATAAAAAAAAAAAAACCTAAAATTTATATTTTTTTAATATAGTATTTTTTAAAGTGATTTTGTTTAATTATATATTTAATATTACATTTATAATGTTACCTTTATATATTTAACCATATTTTATGTACAAAATATATACATTTATTTATTCTTTTATACTTGTATTCTACTAACTATAATTAATTCTTCACATTTTTATTAACTCCATTTTACAGAACAAAGCTCGTTTAGCAGCTAAGGAGAAAGATGATAAGAAAAAAGGAAAAGATGATAAAAAGAAGAATATAGTACACTTTCAACAAAAAAAAGATTTTAATAAATCTAATAGAATAAACATGGCCAAAACAAAAATGCATAAAATGATGAAGAAATAAATTTATATATATACATATATATTTTTTTTTTTTTTTCTTTTGAAATATCGTGTTGCATTTGAGTTGAATATATTTTTTTAAAATATTAATTATGATATTTAAAAAAAAAAAAAAAAAAAAAAAACTGAAACATTTTTGTTATAAAAAAATTAATATAATTTGGAAATTACTTTCCTTTTGATTTAAAATAAATGAAATGTTTACAAAATTTAGAGAATAATCAAAAGATATTTATAAAAATCTACAATAAAATTATATATTTATAGATTATTAACAGTTTAATTAAAAAAAAAATAATAATAAAATATATAATGTTATAAGTCATCATATCTTTTAAAAAAATTTACTAAAATATTTATACTCCGTTATTTCTATTCTTTTATTAATTATTGTATTAAATTAAAAAAAAAAAAAAAAAAAAAAAAAAAAAAATTTTTTTTTC